GAACCAAAAAAAAAAAAAAAAAAAAAAAAAAACAATTCGCTTATGCATTTTTGAATCGGACAATGAAGGAACGAATCGGCGATCTGTTATGATTTGGACCTCCACGTAGATGTCAAAAAATGCAAAAGAAAGAAAAGGAGAAAATGTGACTTGCTGCATGCAGGGACCATGTCACAAGAGCAATGCTCTCTCGTCTGTGGTCTTGTCCAACACAATTTGAGGCTCAGCTTCCACATCCTCCCTGCTATCATCCACATCATCACTTTAATCATCCACCCTTTCCGCATCCTTCTGTCGTTCTCTCTGCCATTCCTCTCGACTGTGCTACGAGCACAACCCCATCGCCCTTCCCTTCAGCAAATCTGCATAAATAGCGCCTCTAAATCACAACATAACGATCCATCCACCTTCAGCAAAGCCAAACTTGTCCGCCAATCATGGCCGACGCCGCTCAACAAACCGCCAATCTGGCTCATGATCTCTTGTCAGAAATCATCCCTTATCCTGTATTTCGTATCCTAGCCGGATTCTCCAATCTCATCTACTCGCTTCTAGGCACGGCCAACAATCCTGCATCATGGTCATCCACCCTCCTTCCTCCGCTCATCACATTCTTCCTCGCTTACTTTGCGCTCGTGACAGCGTACAGAACAGTCAGATCTATGTTGAGCTTAGCCTGGTTTGGAATCAAGTGGGGTGCCATCATTGGAGGCCTGATCGCAATTTGGGCTTGGTGGACGGGTAATATGGATGCCATCAACAGTACAGGAATTGCTCCTGATACAGGAGGTCTCTTCGGTCAACGTGAGTATTCGCGTTCAAACTGGAACGGTTCAGTGGATCACGTACTGAGATCTACTTTGCCCCTATGCTTTCGTCGTTTTGTCTTATTGCAGTGAAACAAATCATGTTCAAAAGCTGACAAACACCCTCCATATTCCTTCCGTGAACCAATGGAACAATTTTGCCAGTCAACTCTCTCGGTCCTCTGATGAATTCCCTTTATGCCAACTTTCCGGATCTCTATGCCCCTGGCAGCACTCGATCACGCAGCAACAATCGCCAACGAGCTTCTTCATCTCGTCGCCGTACCCGCTCTTCGATGCGCGGCAACCAGCATTCGTATTCATTTGATTCAAAAGACAGCGATGATTACCTCCCCGGTGATCTCGGTTCCGGCTTTGGTGCATTTGCAGACATGTTTGGCAGCTCCTCTTCTTCTGCCTCCTCCTCCTTCTCCAACAACAACAACTACAACAACAATGAACTCGGGGCTGGAGGAGTTGATTTTGCGTCGTTACTCCGCACGCTGGTTACCGAAGGACAAAGACAGGGGATTGATGCGCTTAGTGCGTTACGCGCTGCGGGTAAGGTGCAGGATGAGTTGAGACGATTTCAAGATAATCCTGGTGCTTGGTTCGAAGGTGTAGGGAATCGATTTCGGACTTGGACTCCAGAATTAGCAAGTGAAAGTGCGGAGGGAGGTGGATACAATACCCGATCAGGGACAACAAGGCAGAGACAAAATGCAGCAGGGAGAGAAAGTGAAAGGTCAGGAATGGGATCGCGAGCTAATGCATATCAAGGCGATTCGTGGTGGTCAAATCTTGCCTCTGGCGTCAACGATTTTCTCAAACGAGAGCAGAGAGCAGCCTGAACAGCTCAAGTTCAACACGAGAAGGCGCAAGCGTGCCATGTACGGTGTACAACATCTGATGTAGTTATGCCAATATTATTAGGAACTTTTTCAAACACAATCCTTTTTTCTTTCTTTCCCTTCTTGAAAAGATGGCGACGCTCTGTCACACAACGTTACGTTTTCTAAAGGTTCTTTCGTCTAGTCATTACTCGTTGTTGGGGGGGGGGGGGGGAACTTTGTTTATGTTTCTTAGACCCAACCTGTTTTGCGATTTTTTTATTTATTTTTTGCAACGTTTTTTCACGCTTTTCCACATGTTGATTTGACCCATTTTGATCTTAAGAGCTTGTCACTTTAAGTTGTGAATATAAGGCGAATTCAATTGTTGTTGGATGGTTTTGGATTTGACTAAGTTGAAAAGCTTTGTTGAATTTGAATTTTGTTGTCTGACATGATATTCGTCCAAAAAAAAAAAATTCTCTCAATAAAACAGGATTATTGGTTGAGAAATGAAAAGTTGGACTTATCGAGCATGTTTCAACGTAGAAAATAAATAAATAAATAAAATAAAAAAATGGGTAAAGGTTAAAAAATGTCGTGGTTGATCAGTTCGAACGTGTTTGAGAAGAACAAACATTGGTATTGAGACAAAGCGGAATACCAAAAATTCACACTCCCCCTTTGACCGAAAACTTGTTGAATGCGAAATTGGTTGTTTTGCGAAATAGCTTTGAATTACGCTGGTGTACAACAAAATGAGGTGGATTCTTAAAATGCAAGATCATATAATTGTACTACGGTTTTAGGTCCATAATAACATGAAACGAGCGCAGATGTGAGGAAGAGCAACCATGCCTCTTCTCGAACACGTGGTGCAAGTCGCGATCGAAAGGCTTTGATTTCGTCCAATGTCATGTTCCGAGGTACTGGAGGCTCTGATTGGGTTAGAGTAGACATGGCCCGGTTGCAGATTTTCAGTGTGGCTTGAGTAATCGGAGTGATACAGAAAGAAGGAACAGTGTTGGGAAATGGTACGAAGCGAGTCGTAGAGGTCGTCCTACAAATTCGAGACGAAGCAATGTAAGGACATGTACTGTACGTTTCTTTGATCTATAAAGAAGCAATCTGTACTGCTGAATTTTATCGCAGCTTCAGATCCCCATTTGCCGCTTCATGCCCAACCATACGGCAAATGAAATACTCGTCATTGGGACCACTTTCAAGAATCCAATACTCAATCCCACATAGAAGCCTCTCCAACCACTGGTCTTGTAGATCCAAGCAGCTGTTTCCCACATACCCAACATTGCACCTGGTCGGATGATTCCACCCACTTGCTGTCTCCTTCTGATCACTTCAAACGGATATGCTGCAGTCTGGGACAAGGCTCCTGCAAGCGCACCTGCAGATAGATCCACTACGGTCTTACTCGGCCAGTACCACTGCCTCCTACTTCCCGGCGTTGCCATTGACGGCTCCGAAGTAGGAAACACCTCTTGCAAAAGAGTCTTGCAACGACCAAACACCAAGAAACTCGTACCCGCGTAGGGGATCATACCCATCACGGTCACACTGAATCCTCGGTAAAATTTGAGTATAGGCCACTTGGCCAGAAGTTTGTTGCCCACAGGCACTGCTGAACTCGGCACGTGTGGATCTGTCGCCCTCAAGGCGCTTTCGATCGAATTGCCCGCATTGGCTGCAGCCGTGATCGCACTGGTGGCAGAAGTGCTCAGATTCGCCTGTTGTGCGGCTTGTGCAAGACGCGCAGCCCTCTTCCTCGCATCGCTACTGAACGGTGCTTCGGTGGCTCCTTCGCGATAGATCATATCAATGATTCTCCTTAGTCCACCTTTCTGCCTTTTGCGTTTGGTCTCGAATGCCAATCTCACCCTGATGAGTTCCAAGGGGTAAGTCAAGAAGACGGACAAGACACCGCTTGCAGAGCCCGCGAGAAACAGCCTGCCAGAGGTTTCGCTTTGCTTTGTTGGCATGAGGTAGAAATGCAGCTTGTCGTACGCCATGTATTTGATGGCTGCGTACGGAAAGATGCGCATAAGAGTAGCACTGTGGCCTTGAAATAGCGCCGAGGGGCCATCCGAGCGAACGATGTCTCGGCCTGCTTGGAAAACACCTAACCACTTCCCAGAGTACTTTTGGAATTCGGGATTCTGTGCCTGGAACAGGATCTTGACACGGTCCATGGGAGCGATAGCAGACTTGGCGACGCAGCCAGCGATACCGCCGGCAAAGCCAGACCGCAGCACATAATTCCAGCTGGTCTTGTCGGATGTCTCGCCTAGAATGGACGCCTTGGCAGTAGCGGAAGACGAAGATGATACTGAGAATGCATCTTGAGCGGTATCAAAGGCTCTTGCTTTGCCTTTGAGGTCGAACGTAGGGTTTGATGGAGGTGCGAGATGGATCGAGTCACGAGGGTCAGAGGCTGCATGGTCGGTCTCGCATAATGGAGGGTGTTTGGGACGTGGTGCTGCTGCCATCATGGTATGTGGATGTGAGAGGAGCGCTCGAGATCTGAGCGTACTTCAACCTTGCTTCCTCACCCCTGGAGCGACGATTGAGTGACGGAGAACGCAATTTCGAGCAGAATGAGTACGCCGAATGAGTGAGTCCTCCTCGTAAATGAAGTGTGATGTGGAGATGTTGCTCGTTGGTGACTTTGTTGAGATCAACTTCTTTTTGGCGAGAAGAATGGAAGCAGGGCTCGAAACGTCCAGCTGTCCAGCTTTAATTGAGTGAGATACTTGAGCTGTTTGTGAAATATGATCGCTTCGGGGTGAGGAGGTAGCTAGGTTGAGATATCTCGGAGTGGGTTTGATTCGAGTCCTAGCCTTTCCTAAGCGTTTGCAAAGTATGCTATGAATATGACAAGTAAGAAGGTGAAGGTGAGTTGTGTTCTATTTCGCTCAGAGGCTGAGTTGAACCGGAGCCGGTTTAGTGTGCAAATTCCCCCGCGCGGTGGACCCCGCTTTTTTTTGTAGATTTGAAAACCGGACGCAGCTCACAACGCAGTAGCAGCCAGCGTTGTTGCATCATTCCGCTCTGATTTTACAGTATACAGAACATAGACAAAAAACCGATCCTGACCGGCTTGTCCGACATGGATTCTTGGCTGACTGAATATTAGCGTGATAGCCAACTCAAACTCCACACGCGTCACATTTATACAGCATCAATGTTAGTGAGGACAATCTCGTTCACTATCATTTTGTCATCTCAACGAAAAGAATGTGTATACTTGTGAAACCTCTTCTTAAAACTTTTCATTTTGCATCAAAACCATCCCAAGTTCTCCATCAACAAAAATACGAAATAAAAGAAGCCAAAAATACGAAAAAAGTGTCCTCGGCGAGAGTCGAACTCGCGATCTTAGGATTTCAGAACTTCAACAAGCTCGTAGGTTGATTCCCGTCAAACGGGATCGTTGGTGCATACGTATGAGACCTACGCCCTAACCAACTAGGCCACGAAGACTGATTGTGCTGGTGCAAGACACTGTTGTATACAAGTTTGTGTTGTCCCAATGACATTTTCATGAAGTTTGTCAGAGTTTAGGCTCGTGGTGGTGGTGGTTGGACAAGAAGCTTGTTCTCTCGGATTTGTCGATGATAGCTTAGGACGGGCCATGACAGCGACAGTGGCACAAGTCATCTTGTTCGGGTGATCCGGCGTGGATAGGAAGCTTTCTCACTCGTCACTGCGCTCTGTCGGCTGTGCTTGCTGGGACTGGATGCGTCGATCCTCTGAACGGTCAAGTTTTCGGGTCGAGAGCACTGATGGTAGGACAAGGCGCTCAGCCAATTGGTGTCGGATTTGCCGAACGTTTCTCACTCATAACATCCATACTTGAATTCTTATCCATCGTACGAACGCATTCACGGGGAACAGCATGTGTCAAAGTCGTGGCGGCTAATATCAGCTGCCTTTTGTTATGTCTTGTTTCTTTACATGGAAGCGTAATCGCTCACCAACTTGGCCACGCCATTAGCCAAGGGAGCCAATTCACTCGCAATCGCACACTCGGCATACACCCTCACACAATCCTCGGTTCCACTGGGCCTGACAAAGCTTCTGGCATCTTTGTACTTGCCCACCAAATCATCGATCCTCTCTTGCAACCCGGGGGGACTGGTCAACCTACGTTCCGCATCTTCGGTCTTGAACATGAAACGATCCTTGACGTTTACCTTCAAGATCTTGTTGGGCAAGTCTTCGTATGCGCCATCCCACTCTGCTGGACCCCATTGTCGAGCTCTCAGGATGACCTCGACCAGAAGCATGTCCGAGATGGCATCGCCGACGGTCTGATTGATGAGATCGACCAGCGCTGCGAGCTGCTCCAGCGCGGTCTGAGCAGCGGGGGAGCTCGGGGTGGCTTCGCGGATCTTTCTTTGTGCAGAAGGGGAGAAGAGGACAGTGCCGTGACCATTGGCTTCAAAGTAGACGCCAATGTCGTATGCCTCCGCAGCGTGGTGGAGGTGCTTGACACCGGTAGGAGTGCACGTGACGGGGACGCGTTGCTTGAGGTACTTTGTGGAGCTACCGTTGGCGTATGCGGTCTGAACGCAGCCGAGTTCGAGCTTTATACCTGCTGCCTTGACTAGTTCTGACAGATATCCAGCGGCAAGCGAAGCAATCTTGTCGCCGTCTAGCAGGCGGAAAGAGTCCTTGGAGGAAGCAGGGCCGGTGAGGTAGTAGTACACGATACGGTCTGCGTCACCGTCGAAAGAGCAAAGACGCTCTCCGGGTTGGAGGCTCTCCTTCTCGAAACCCACAGGAAGACACTGGTTGGTCTTGACGTAGTCGGCTCCGCAGCCGTTGTTGAGCGCGCCGGGTGTGGTGGTGCTGGTACGCAGAGGTCGGAAGGCGATGCGGTCCTCTGCAAGGTACTTGATCATGTTGGTGAGGGCATAGGCACCGACACCATTTGCGCAGTCTACAACAAGCGGCGGCAGATCCGAATTGCGCGGTACCAACTTCAAAAAGGCGCTAGCTAGCTTCTTGTAGTAGCCTTCCTCTGTGGGTTCACCATAGCTCTCCGGTGTGCCCTGAGTGTTGAGAGATTTGACCAAGTAATGCAGCTGAGGGGTCGTCTTGAGTCCCGCGTCGATGGTGTGAGCTCCCATGGCGCTCAACCCATCCACAATAGCATGTACCAAAGCCTTGCACGACGGCCTCGTGTCGTAACCCACGACCACGCTGGCTGGCTGGTGCAGATCGATCTTGAAGTGGGCCACGAGCTTTTCTAGTTCCTGGACGAGCTCATCATCAGTGACTGCGTTGGCGATGGCAGTGCAGAATGGTTCCCATGTGGCTTCGAGCATTTCTCCGCGGGGATCGACCATCTTGACACCATTATCGTGTTCGGGATTGTGGGAGGCGGTAACCATGAGACCGATGGTCTTGCCCTTGAGCTTTTTGGAACGGAGAGCGCCGATGAGGCCAACACGGAAAGAGGTGCTATCCAGGATGTCGGCTCGAGTGCGAAGACCGGCTGTTCCGTATGTGAAGGACTGGTTGATGGGTTTTGGATGGGCGGCAGAGGCGGTGTTGATGAGAGAGATGGGGAGACCCTCACCAAGGTGTGCCTGTGCGGCTGAGATGGAGTTTGGGATGGCCATGATGTTGGCTTATAAAACCGGGCTGCTGCTAGTGAATGGCTATGTGGTGGTCAGAAGGCAGGTGAGTCAAGAATATTGAATTTCGGATATACTTGCTCGGCAGCTGTCCGAAAAGTGAAGGATGCGAGTATCGCACAAGCAACAGCAACACTTGTTTTTGGCTGTGTGTGTGTGTGTGTGTGTGTGTGTATGTGCTCGAAAGGCGGAATGTTGAACGCCGCACACGGAAGCGTTGTAGTGTGACACGGGTGGCATAAGGCGAACACAGTCAGGAATTAGCCTCGCTGGACGGTCGGTGGGTCAGTGCGCCGGCTGTGTAGGTCTCCAAGCACTTCACTTCGGCCTGCATTATGACAAGTGTAGACATGGAGTCAACTCTGCTCTCTCTCTATATACGTATCTCTCTCTCTCTCTTTGACCACTTTCATCGGTGCTTGGTTCCATATACTAATTTCCTGTACTGTACATTACTGCAGTCATCATCAATGCGACGCCCTATTTTTCTTGATCCAGAAGGGAGAAGCCTGAGACACGGCAGACTTGATGTTGTTTTGTTCTCTCACGCTGAAAATTGGTTCCTTGTTCCTTTGGAATCTATTTTCGAGGCTCGGATACGATCGGGATCGCGACTCATGACTCAAGCCGATACTACATCCTAGCAGCATCGGGATTGACTTGCCGATACAGTCACAGCCAAATGCAAGCTTGAATAATCCGCCAGCAGAGCAGTACAGAGTAAGGCTTGCATGTTCGAGTTGATGACCCAAACTAGCATTGCAAAGGGCGCAGTGACTGACAGAGGCGTGTGTGGTCTTAACATGCCATGATGCGGTGCTGCCATGTGCTGCTGTAAATAAAATTTACCGAATTGCGTGAGGGTGGCATGTGTGCTAGTGCCTCAAGATTTCAGGGCAATTCAAACAAGGGGCAGCACACGGCAGGTGCGACCTTTCTCTTCTTTGTCCATGCTCTTCTCTTCCGGCCCGCACAGAGAGTGTGTGGAATATAGGTGGTATGTATGTGTGTGTGTGTGTGTGTGTGTGTGTTGGAATGGCTGACGAATGGCTGACCACGATTCTCAATCCTTCATCTACAACACAGTACACCGGCTTACAGTACAGCTTACTCCTTCATCCTTGTCCTCCTCCCACATCTTAACGAATCTTTCCGTGAAACAACATCAGCTGTGTACTTTCAGGCTGCCATCCATTTAATTCGCACGTGTTCGATTCAGCACATCTGGCCGACCACAATCCTACGCAATCACACAATCAGGCACAAATCGCAAGTCGAACTCTGTCCATCTACGCTGTTTTCAGGATACCGTATATTTGCACCTATCTCACCTGGGACAACCAAGCTCATTTAGCCTTGAAACCATCATCGCAATGGTACCAGTAGCACAAGGTGGCCATCCGCCATCGCTTCACATTTCACCTCCAGGAACTAGCTACTCGAGCTCCACCTCTACTTCTGGCGCGCCTCCTGTCAGTCGTCCCCCACATGGCCGTGCACGTTCCTCATCGCTCGTGTCGGTAACTCGAGTGGAAGAAACACACGAAGAGATGCTCGATCAATCGGCAGGATTCAATGCCAACGCCGACTGGGTCAACTATAAGGGTGCTTGGGTCATTCACGTCGTGCTCATCCTCGTCGCCAAAATCCTGCTCGATGTGATCCCAGCCATGCAACAGGACACTTCTTGGACATTGGTCAATCTCGGCTACATGGCACTCAGCTACATCATGTTCCACTACGTCACAGGTACACCTTTTGAAAGCAACGCGGGTGTGTACGACCAGCTTACGCTGTGGGAACAGATTGACGAAGGCGCGCAATACACTCCAGCCAAAAAATGGTTGACAAGTGTTCCCATCGGACTTTTTTTGATTTCAACACACTATACGAGATACAATCCGCTGCTATTCGGTCTCAATTTTTGTGCGTTGCTATTCGTGCTCTTCCCTAAACTGCCTATCCTTCACAGGTTGAGATTTAGGTTCTTCGAGGCTCCCCCCACACCAAGCCCTCATCCTAGCACACCGCCAACTCCCACCGGCTCAAGGGCGCAGAGCCATATGTTCTGAGATGGATCTTCACAAAGACACGGACAAGAATGTGAACGGATCGCAAGCCGACTCAACTTTTCACAGCCTATCGAACATATGTTTGTATTTCGGCATTTTTTTCTCCTTTTTTCCAGCGAAAAAGCTCAAACTCGGCCTTCCTTGACGCACCAAGTTTATATGTACTCTCGCCTCGTCCGATTCGTGTAATAATATACAAGTCAAGTTGACATGCGCAATTCTACACTGACTTGTTTGCACCATGCTGAAAACGTTGAAGGCAGGTGGCAGCTTGAAAGACGCCAAGCCGGTCAAGTCTTGATAGCGTCAAAGTCCTCACGTACTGTGTGTAAAACCGCGGTATAGTAAATTAGCAGTACAGTAATTTGACGCTTCTAGCCAAGCACTCGGAAAACGGAAGTCAAGTGGAGTAGTGTGAGCGGCTGATACTCCAAAAAAAAATTGTTGCAAGGGCACATTGTGTGTGGCTTTTTTGAGCTTCGTACTTTATCTTGAAGCCCAAATTTTTCTTTCTTGTTAATTGTGTGTATTTGTTTTTGAGATTTTCTCTAGATTCGAGGAATTTTTTCTTCTTGTTCTGGTTGAACAGCTCACAGCCCAAGAGCGAAGGGTGGCACAGGATTATTGTACTCTCTAGACCCTGACCTGGATTCAATACCCTTTTCACTCCTTTCCACTCCTTTCCACTCCTTTCGTTTGTCGTTACTCACTACCGACTTTGCGTCCTTACCCAGAGCCTATCACCAACTCGTGACAGAGTCGTCCG